AGTTGTACTGGGTCAATAAGGCCATTGGGTCCAACCTCCTGCACAACCTCTCCAAGTTAAACCATCCCTCTCAGATGGCTGTTCAGTTGCACCTTGAATAAGTATGGGAGAGCCTACAACCTCCCTGCGTAATTGCTTCTATGGCTGTATTGTTCTAACAGCCAGGAAGTTTCCCCTGATGTTACACTGGAATCAGACTTCCTATGGCTAATGGAGTGGGTAAGAAATCAAATAACTGAAGGGAGCTATGATAGCACTCTTCGAGTATCTGAAAGGTTGTTACCCAGAGCAGGGCCAGCATCATTTCTTGGTTCTACCAGCGTGCAGAACACAGAAGTTGTTTATTATTTTATTTATCAATTGTATCTCCCTTCAGTCTTCTCTCCTCAAGGCTAAACATGACCAGTTCTTCCTCATGGGGCCTTGTTTCCAACCCCCTGATCATCCTGTTGCCCTTCTCTGAACCCTTTGCAGTTAGTCTACATTTTTCTTAAAACAGCAGAACATTTTGGCTTAATTGTCTGAGCAGCAGTAGCTCAAGAGGCTGTGCCTAAAAGTTGCACCCCAATCCCCGCCCAAAGATTCTGCAGGGTTGAGAAACCAATTCCTTGTCCTAAAAGGAAACCTAAACAGCATCCATCATCTCTGGCCCTTCCTTGTATAGTTTTTCGTTAAGGAAACTGCAGTATTGCAGGATGTTTACTTGTCAGTATCTTCTTTGGTTATTTAAGCTCCACAAGACTGAGACACCTGACTTATAAGGTCCTCCATATTCTCAATCAATCAATCAATCAATCAATCAATTGCTATTACCTTGAAGAACAGGGATTCTGTTGTTGGAGTAGTATTAATCCTGACCTGCTTCCAGGATCATTTTGTTCCCTGGAAATAAGTTCTACACCCATAGGTGCATAGGCCCAGTCTGCATTGGACTGGACACAGACTAATAAGCTGAACTTTGTTTCCATTAAAATCTATGTGCTTTCACTCATAACAAACTCGTCCGGCTGATTTTAACAGGTCTATACCTACGTATTATACATACCACTTAAATAGGGTGAATATGCATAGATGTCACTATATGTATGTTCAATAGGAGACTATGATGTGGACCTAGAGATGGTGGCATACCGAGGAGGTGTGGTAAATAAGCACAATTCCACTTCCCTACCATGGATATACTTTCTACCATTCTGGCTGTATGTGAATATTTCTTTAGGAGGAGTGGCTACATTTCACTGGCCTGGTTTGCAAATTTTGAGGAACCATCACAGCTGAATTTCCTCACAGGGCTTCTCACTGCATCAGCCATAGCTATTCTGAACAACTGTGTTGCATCAGGGACATGCTATAACATGAACCCACCCTGGCAGGATTCACACATCATGACAAGCCACAGGATCCTACACCACAGCTTGAATATTCAAACTGGCAGTAGCCATGGCAACAAAAGTTCCTCAGGGATATTTATACTTCTCCACAGAGGCTTCCCATTACATTTGAACAAGGTCACTGTCTGCAGTTATTGGCAATGGTCACATACAGTAACTTGTATTCTTTAGTGTTAGAACTTCTCCTGTTTGCAGCTAGGAAAGCAAAACTCAGCCAAAGCTTACATGTTCCTATTTTTGTGATTGCATTCAAAAAGGGTATTGGCTAGTAAAATGAATATGTGCCATGGATTGAAACAAGCCATGGAGGCTTGTTCAGTCCTGGAAATGGGCCCACTCTCTTCTGGGGCATCTCAATGTGAGTAAAATGAGTTCAGGTAGCACAAAAGTCAAGTTCTTTTCTGATGAGGCATTTATCCACTGGGGCTGGTGCAAGAACCCCTCTGATTCAGTGCTCTGTTTGGTCGAAGGAAGATATAACAAAGATCCATGAGCAAGTGTAACTGTCAGGTGTAAATGATGGCCCTCACACCCCTGCTGTTCAAGTAGTAAGGAGGCCTCAGTAGTGGGGCTGTAACTGCCTCTCTTCTGTTCTTTTTACTGCTCGAATCCACTGTTGCCACTGGGCCTGCCTTCTTCCTGCTGCATTCCTGAAGGAGGTGACGTGTGTTCTCATATTGTGAACAGAGCATGGTTAGACATTCAAAACTGGGAACTGGGAAGACAATAGTCTCTTCAGGAGGGCCAATTGCAGTGCTTAGTGCAAGTCATGTTTAAGACCCACAAAAGGTTTAAATCATGAGTGCTAGAATAGTAAGTGTGTCTCTGTGGGGCTCTCTACTGAATTGCTGACAGCAATTACAGTAGGACTCAAAAGGACGCAGATTATCTCAGAAGGTGTTAGGAACAATCCTGGGTAGAGGTTTGTTTTGTTTTCATAAACATAGAGTCATAGAATAGCCATGAAGGCCATTCCAACTTTACTGCTGGTGCAGGACACCAATTTACCATCCCAGTGAGATGACTGTCCAGTTTCTGTTTGAATATCTCCAGTGTGGGAAAGCCCATGACCTTCAGTTCAGTTCAGTTCAGTTTTTTGAAAGACACAAACGTGGACTGTGCATTGTCTCCAGTGTGACTTGTGTGCCTAACTATCCCTTGGCTTGTTTATTCATAGGTATGCGGTGCCCTGCACCATAGCCCTGTGGTTAAAAAAAACCTGTACTCATTTGCATCATTTGTACCTAATTTTGGCTAGTCATGTTTGATGCAAATCAAATATAAGGATGCCAGAAGGAAAAAGTAGTCACTTTCAACATTGAAAATCAGTTTTATTTGCACTTTTTTGACCTTTTCAAATTGATTAAATAAAGGCAGCATAAGCACAGGATGAGGAGAAATCTAAAGAGAAATTTTATTTAAGGCATGTTTGAAGGGAACTGATGGGATAGGCTCAGAGCTACTAGTGAAACTAATATACCAGCAGTGTAATTTGATTTTAATGAACACTTTGAGGTACTCAGAAATTGACAACAACCAATATTTTAAAGAGAGTCATTTAAAAGAATACTAATTGAAGTCCAGCTTTAGAATGTCCCCATGTGCAAATAAAATTAATCTAGCCAAAATGAATTGTAGCCTTAATTTGGCTTTTAAACGTTATTTAATGCTGAGCTATATCTTGGTGTCCTATGAACACAATCATAAGAAGTGATTGTATGGATGTGAAAAATGAGCAGTATTCTGTTTTTAAACCTATTCTGGCTTACATTGCTGATTACTTTGAAAAGACTCTGTGGATAACAATAATATTTGATTTCTAACTTCCTGTCCTTTTCCATTTTAAACTGGAAGACAATATTAGCTTCAGGGGGAGAAGCTAGTATACTGGGTGCCTCTCACAAAAGGTCTTTCCTTAACATTTCCTGGGATTTTGATAAGAAGCACTAATCAGCACCAGCAGTTTAACTGATCTAAGCTACCCTTTTGGGCCTTTTGGCATTTACTCCTGCTAGTTATTTTTGCATCTGCCCACCACCCACCTACCCACCCACCCAAAGTAACACAGCATACTGATGAGAGCCATTTTCACCACCTCTCTTGCCTCATCCTCTTGCAGAAGTTGGGTGGGAGCCAAGCTTTTTCCACGTCAGCACTAATGGGACTGACTGCCTATAGCATCTTGAAAGTTAAGTGTGAAAATACAACCTTGTACTGCATATCTCTAGAGAGGGTTTCATTTGTGTAGCACCATGCCTTGTAACTCAAGAGCAATGCTATATTTAGAGCTCCCCATCACTGGAAGATCAACAGGCTGTTGTTACACTCAAATCTACTTTGAAGGACACTTGGCTTAAAGGCACTGCAGTTACCTCCCTCCTCCCCCTGCCTCTTAAAAGATACTTGACATCATAGGTAGAAAACATGAGATGCTTTAAAAGCCATTGAAGACCATTCAGCACAATATCCTTGACCTTTTTAGATTTGCGTTAAATCCTCCTTATTTTTCTCATCACATCTTTCAATCCTTTACTCCTTCAGAAATAAATTTTACTTCAGAAAACCAGGTTTTAGATTCAGGTGATTTCTCAGCTATTTATTCCATAAAGCTGGGATTGTTGATGGGTGGAAAGTTCTGAAGAAGATGGTATTAAAGGGATTCCTCTAAAATACATCTTGAACATCACAAATTATTGTACATTCTGTCCTCAGGAATGATAACTGGTGGTCCTTGACAAGCTGTGCCTATCACAGCAAATTGAGCAAGCCATATAAATCTACATGTTCCTTAAGTGAATAACTGGATCAGTTTTATTTTCTACATATTTCATGCCAATTAGCACAAGGCTGAACATATTTTAGGCTTGATGCTTTCTCTCTCTCTCTCTCTCTCTCTCTCTCTCTCTCTCTCTCTCTCTCTCTCTCTCTCTCTCTCTCTCTCCCCTCCCCATATTCTCTTTTACTAGAACTCCAAGATCCACCAACCAGAGCCAGATGTGAAATGTTAGCATAGGGCGGGTGGAGCGGTACCTCCGTTCACTTAGAATTCAGGACCAGGGTGTATTTGTGCACCTGCACAAACCCAAAGTTCTAGGACCAGAACTGCTTTCGCACACAAACCAAAACTCTGAACAGATATTTAGCACTATATCCTGAACTTGTTTTGCAAATCCAAGGGATTTAATTCCCAGGCAACATCCTCTGCACATGCAGAAAACATTAAAACTCCCAGCTGGGAGTGATAAACCTGAGTTAGTTCATGTGTTGTGGGGAGAGAAAAACATGGCTTACTATAACGGCGTCATCCTTAACCGATCAATGTAACAGATTTCATACTATCATGAATGACTACAGTATTAGCCTACAGGCAGAACGCATACAGTTTAGTCATGTTTGGAAACCACTTTCCCTCCTCCACCACTTGGATTCTTTTTATAATTATGAAACCAATATGGGGGGAAAAATACTTTGGGATTCCTAGATTTCTAGCAAAGACCTGCTTTAAAAAATTCTGTACCACATTTGCTGTAACATACAGTGCTATTTTGGTCATTTTATTTTGTATACCTTGATTTCATGTTTATTTTTAATATTGTTTTTTTCCTGCAGTGGGAAAGCTTAATGTGACAGCTACGAAGCTGATGAGTAAGTAGTGCCTTTTTCTTCTTCTCTGTTTAGATGATCAATAATATATAGTTCTCACTGAAACCATGTTGATGTGACAGAACTAGGTAGACCACCTTGTTATTCATATGCTCTATCAACATGAGAGGTGAAACGGCTCCGCATTGATTAGCCCTGCCCCAGCGTGACATACACTGCCTAGCTGCATGCTCCACTTCTGCATGTAGAATGTGAACTTCCAAGGGAAACACAAAGAGCTCCTGATCTACTGCTGTAATTGCTCTCTCCCCCAGTATGTTGACAGTATGCATGCAACCAAATGAAGTTGTGTAGGTTAGGGGACAAGCTTGCTGCTCAGCTCCCACACACACACTCGCTGTCATGAGCTGCGCATCCCCTCCCAAACAAGACAAGCACTTCAGCAATTATTAAAAGAGTCCTTATTCCATACAGCAACAGTGTATTCACAAGCTTCAAAACGCTCACTCCAGCTGGAACATTGACTCCTTGCTCTGACCCTGTTCACCCAAAGCTTTGTTCATGAACCCTTTGGGGCTGGTCTCTGGAGGGGGGTGTGCTATGGAAGCGAGAATGCCGATGCTCTTCCCATTGAGTCGGCATCAACAGGCCCTTGCGTCCGTGTCTCCAGGGGTGTCAAGCCCTCCTTCTGAGAACCTCTCCCCAACCTGTTCTCCCCTGGCTTCTTTTCCACAATCTGGGGCAGGGGGGCTCAGTGGTTGTCCTTGAAGTGCTTTGATCCAGAGCTGGCTGGGACTGGCTCACCAGGAGGAGTTGGGCAGCCGGGGCCTCACTAGTCTCAACAACTCCAGTTCTCAGAGTGAGAACTCTGAGCCACAGCTGGTTCAGCTATCCACTCCCCCTCCTCCGAGTCTGAGCCACAATTCCCACCAAGGCCTGGGGAACTCATCTGAGCACAACACTCTCACACACACATGCACCCATGGGGCCAATTCAAAAGAACACGGCACACATTCTAGCAGCAAGTGACAGGAGAGGAGAGCTGTGCTGATAAGCCCCATCCCCAGCACAGAGGGCTGAATGGCCTGCCTCCTGTGTCAACATGCCTAGGGTGGGAAGACAGCAAATACAGCAGTACATCAGGAACCCTTTGTGTCTCCCTTGGATGTTCATGGGGCTAAGCAAAGGTAATTGGATATGGCTCAGAGCTTTCTCTCACACTCTTGGGATGTATTAGGGTATAAGCCAACACCCTCTATTTCAAGAGCTTCCCTATACAAGACAGCCATTGTGCTCCTGCAGTCCCTCATTCACAGAAGTTTGCAGGGCTTTACACAATATCATAATTTTCCAGAGCCTCTCCCATGTTCTCCAGTCTTTTGCATGGACTTTTTTTTTCAAGTAAGGACAGTCTGGAATTCAATCTGAAACTGCAAAATACTGGAACAAAAGCCTCATGCAAAGTTGCAAACCTGTTTTCGTGCAGCTGTTTCACAGCAACACCTTGTGGATGGTTAATAGGAAGGCAGAGAAGAAGAAACCCTGGTGAGGAGAATGTGTAAAGATTTATTTTTCTTCCCACAAAAGGGAAGAAGAATCCTCAGTAAAACATCAGTTAAGCCCCTAATGTAGTGAAGCCCTAAAACTCTAGACAGTAGCAAGACCACACAAAAGACATTGAATTTAGTACTGAGGCATAAGTGAAATGAAACATGCATGAAGTTTGAAATAGGCATGGAAATTATTTACGATAAAGGAAACAAACCGAGAATTAACAAAAGGTCTTTGGTCGGGTGAAATGCAACCTTCGGCTATTAATTAAAAATGGGAACAATTTTGCAAAGAAGTCTTCAAAGTCATTTCATCAAAGAAAGTGAAGGAAGCATTCAGCCATTCCTTGGCTCACTTCCTCTGTGCTAATTGTCACAAGTAACAGTACATCTTGGTAGCCTCATGATTGCTTCATTCATGTGCCAGAGCACAAAGAGGTCATTAATATCCCTGACACTCCAGTACATGACACCCATCCAGAAAGAGTCCTCGACCTGCACTCCCCTGCATTTCCATTCTGCTTGGAAGCATAGGTCTTTTCCTCCCTTAAAATGAAGGCATGAGGAATATGCTAGTCCCTGGAGAGCATCACAGGGATCATAACATTCTTTGGAGTCTCCTCCAGTGTAGTAGATACTGCAAAGGTTCTAAAATCCAACTCCCCCCTCTACCCATCCTCCCACCCCCTTGCAGTCGCCACAGCAAGACCTCTGCTTACAAGTCACAGTGGCAATTTGGAGGATTCAGGAGAGGTCTGAAAGGGTGGGGATGGAAGGAACGGAAAAAGGCCAGATTAGGAAGAAGCCTATGACCTCACCAGCCGCAGCCGCAGCCATGCCAGTAGTGGATGGACTCAGAGGCTCATCTAGAAAAAAATGACAACAAAGGAGCTGAAAATTGCCTTGGCCACTCATCCTACCTTTCCAGCAGGGCACTGGATACATAAGAAGCTTCTGCCAAAGAAGAGCACATCACAAGGGGTGGCATCCTAAAGCGTCAGTTCACATCTTGTTCTGAAGTTAATCATACTGTATACACTGCTGGCCCAGAAAGATCTCCTACAGTTGGCATTGTTTATTCTGTGTTTAGATTCCACTGTGTTGTTATTTTTTTCTCAAGTGTGGAAACAGGACCTAAAGTTAAAAAAAAAGCTCTGTCAATTTGACTGACTGGTAATTCTTGAGTAGGAACTATATAGTCAAATAATTACCTTTTAAATTCATTCCTTAGAAGAAGAAAAGGGGAAAAGGGCTGTTCAAGAAAAGAAAGCTATTCCTGAAGTTAAAAAGAAAGGTAGGTTATGTATTGTTTTAAAGTATGGGAATTAATTTCCCTGATCTTCAAAGAAGTCTTCTCATTGTAATTCTTTAAGAAACAAAGCCAATTCATCATCTTTCATTCATGTCTTAGAAGTGGAAGAGAGAAAAAAGGTAACCCAGGAGAAGAAATTTGTTCCTGAAATTAAAGGGAAAGGTAAGCTATGGGCATAAATATAGCATTGCTAGAATTTTACTGAAATGATGCTGTGTGATGAATACTTGCTTTGTGGAGAACATCACAGGGTAGATCCAAAAAGACCAATCAGTCACATTTGGACCATTTTATGTTTGATCCATTAGAGGCCATGGCTAATGAAGGCTGCTTGGATACAGCAGCTGACCAAAGTGTGTGATTTTGGCTTCAAAGTTATATACACCTACTTAGCAGTAGCTCCCACTGAAACTAATAATATAGACTGATTTTAATATCTATCTTATGAAGTTTTTGTATCCAGCACTTGAAATTTAAAGAAAGGCAGCACTTGAAATTTTAAATAAATACATTGTGACTTTGTTCCAGGTAAATGTGCATAGGATTAAACTATATATTCCCACTGGTGGAGGAGGAATCACAAGAACTGAACCTCTGCCCAATTTCTCACCAAAAGCAATTCTATAAGATAAAGCAAAGCAAATGTTTTGATCCCACCTGAATGCAGCACAAAACCAGGGCTTAGCATTATATGCAGGAGCACCAGCAAGAGTGGGCCCATGTGCTTTCCCTCTTGTGGCACAGCTGAAAAGAAGAGTTTGGAAGCATCCACCTCTGGCTTTAAATTAACCAGAGAGTCTCATTGATCCGGTCTGTGTGTCACAGTGTGTCTCATCATGGATTACTAGGATGAACTATAGAGCCGCTGTGTGACACTTTTCATATCCAACTTCCATTCAGGGATTCTTGTGTCATGCAAATCCATGGTTTATGCAAGGGTTCAATAATTTTCACATAATACGTGGTCTGTGTGTTCTGTGAAGTTTTCTTGTTCCTCACATAGTCTGCGCTTTGCAAAACACAACAATCCCCAAGTGCGGGTTGGATATGTCAAATGGCATTTGCTTGCATCCTATGGTTGTCACAGTCTCAGTATGATAAAATAACCATTAATTAATCTATGATTTGTGTCATGTGAACTGATCTTCAATATCTAAAGTACAGAAATTTAATTGAAACTATTTTTGATTGGAACTGTGGTTTCCTGGTATATTGGAACAAACCTTGGTTTATACATGCCAGAGTTCACTCCTCCTTCCAAAGCAAGAAAAACCTGCTCATTTTAAAAAAGCAATTAATGTTTCCAATAACTTTCTTGTGGCTACACCAGAATATAAAAAGGGATGAAGGAGCACTGAACTGGACAATTATCTTTTTATTTATGTCTTACAAGTGAAAGAGCAAAAAAGGTTACTCATAATAAAGAAGCTATTCCTAACATTAAGAAGAAACTGAGTTATTAAAATGATGTTTTGGCTGGATGTTTACTGAACTGAGCTTGTATGATGCTTATTTTCTGCAAACAGTTCAATAGAATGGATTCAAATGACTGAATGGCCACAGGTTGGATGGTAATCAGACCAATCGGCGCACAGAAACCCATGAGTTGTTCAACCCATTGATTGCCAGGCACAAGTGGGCATGCTCTTCACTTTTTCTTTCAGTTAGCAGCCTTAATGTTCTGTTCGTGGGTTGTTATCGTGATCTCTGAGCATAGATGCTGGGTTATTTAGAGATTAAACAACCCACAGTAAACTCAATCCTCCTCCTCCTCGGGTTAACTCTGCATTGTTTAATACCCAGAGAACTCTGTGTCATGTGTCATGATAACAACTTGAGCAAGGGATAATCATGATGAGTTAACTGAAAGGGGAAGTGAAGAGACCACTAGAGGTAATGCATGCACTTGCTCCTGGCAGATTTTGGCAACTGAGCTTACATTTAAACTGGGTCAAAGACTGCTCCAAATCACTACATAGATGGACTGGCTTATGTTGTAGAATGTTCGGTATTGTTTATTACATTTACTTATATCCCACATATTCCCAGTGATTGGGACTCAAAGTAGTTACTTATGGTGCCTTCAAAACCTCTATAAAGTATCACACTTTGTTCTCTCTGTGGATCAGTCTACCCATGACTGAACTGAAAGCTGCCATTATGTATTTCTTTGACTCTTACATAAGATTCAGCTCAGACATTATCCCAGGCTAAGGATCCTGTTTCAGGGAGGGAAGGTTCCTTTCACTGCTCTCATAATGTAGCCTATCTGTGAGAGAGGGATAAATGGCATCTCTGTGTGCTTATTAAGGAGCGCCTCCATCCATTCAGCAATGCTGCCTGTTGAATTGGGCCTCTCCCAATCAGCGGTAAATGATAATTTCCTAAGACACAAAGCCACTCTGTTATTCATGTCTTAGAAGTGGAAGAAGGGAAGAAGGCATCCCATGAGAAGAAAGCTGTTTCTGAAGTTAAAACAAAAGGTAGGCTATTTGAAAGTGTTTTTGTTTTGTTTCACTTTTTTATCCTGTTCCAGTGGAGGGAACATTTATTTGCCATAAAATAATGCAGTATGGAAATGTGCATGGAAGCCACAATATGTGATCAGTACCTGACCCTTTTTGAGGAAGCTGCACATAAACTAGACCGTTGCCCAATTGTCCACATTATATTATCATGTGGACAATAATATAACCTGAATAACAAGCAGTTTCTCCATGCAAGCATTGGAGTGAAGTTAGGCATGGGTTTACTTTGAGGAAATATTTTAGGGTGCTTCCTTAAGAATGACAGAAGGCTTCAATCCAAAATTCAAAAACCTTCATTCCTCACCTTTCTGGTTTCTTCAGTTACATTTCGTCCAATGTCTCGCCTTGGCCACGTTCATACTCTGCATTCATACATCCGGAATTCTGAATCAATAAAGAGACATATTTGAACCGGATCATGCCACAGGAAAAGGTGTCAGAACATGCACAAACAGTGCAGAGTTTTCATGGGAATGCCAGGTCTGACAGTGAAGGAAAATGGTTGTAGAATCTCAACAAGCCCCATTATCTGATCAAGGTCAAGGAATTTCTGGGGAACAAGGAGGGAAGTTGTCAGTCCGTGGCAATGGGGGTGATAGTCAGTCAGGCTGTGAAAATCAAGGGATAGCAAAATAGGAAGCGAAATTGACCACTAGGGCTGACAAGGGTCCCAGTCTACCAGTAGTGCACCAGGAGTAGGAAATGGAGCTAGACAGGTCTCACAGCAAGATTTGAACAGCTTGTCTGAAACAGAGGTCCCTCTCCTTGAGGAGGTGATGCCAGTTGCTAGGAGACAGCATAGGTGGGAAATTTAGTTAATTGAGAAGTGGGAGGATCGCAAAGAACTAGGTTTTGCAGTGCTCTTTCTGCAGGGGTGCACAGACATAAGAGATGTAGAGTTGGAAGACTAAGGGGTATTAGAGAGGGCTCCATATTTCACTCTGGGTCAACTCAGAGACATGGAACAATGAAGTCTTGTGGGAAGGTAACTTGGAACTGGGGTGTTTACTTGGGAGAAGAGCCACACCTCATGACAGTGGGTGAGGAAAGTACTCATACAGCATCTCTATGAGCTTATTGAGGCATATGCAGGGCCAAACTAAATGACATGTCAGTAAACTAACTTGTTTCAACCTGAGTCTGCCTAATCATGTTTAAAGCAGGAGATGGGTACATGATTGTTTGGCTTATTTACCTCACAGTAGTCTGCCTTCCCTCCTCAGGTGCTTTGTCTTAGTCAAATTCACTGCTAGTAGTGGAAATAGCTGATGAGAAAAGAACCTGGAGACAGAATAATTTCCCCACTTTATACCTGATTAGCCTTGACTAAGGTTAAAAACAGATGGGTGTACCACCATGTTGGACCCAGAGAAATCTAGGTTGGAAGCCTTATCTTTTCTATTTGAAGGTTTTAAATTAGAAGCCCCATGGATTTCAGAGAATCTACTACTGCAAGTGCAGCTAAGTCTGGATTCAACTCAATAGCTAGAAAAAGTACCAATTTACACCACAGAGTATGGCACATATTCTTCCCTGTGTTTGACAGGATACACCATGAAGTGTGTGGTACACCTGTCTAGCATTAAAGTGGTTTTCTTTTGATTAATTTTCAGAAAGAAAAGAGGAAAGAAAACCTCATGAGAAGACAGCTGTCCCAGAAGTTAAAAAAGCAGGTAAGAAATTGCTGTCTATCACTCTGTTCAATGAAATCCATTATTATATGTGCACATTTTTAGACTTTAGGAGTTTAAATTAGGTGGATATTCATATTATGAGCTTATTAAACTGTGATTATTAATGTTATTAATTTAGCATGTTTGACAGATATAAGTATCACTGTTTTCCGGTTTCATACATTATGGCTAAAATGGCATTCATTGTATTCATTTATTATTAACTGAACTTACTGTAATCATTTTTTAAAGTTGCATCCCCTGCGCAGCTATAGAATAGCATTGTCATGTCATTTAATCAATGAACCAAATAAAATGGAAGTTCTAGGTAGCAATCAGAAAGAGTTAGTCAAGTGTCTCACACTATTCTGGCATCAACCTCTTCTCCCTAATCCACTACTGTCTGGATGAACCCGGGTCCCATGTTTCCGACCTCTCCACAGAATTACTGGTGGGGAAAGTGTGGCTACAGAATGCTGGCTCCAAACTAGCATGATCTGCCTCCAGCCTACCATGTCCCTCTTCCCTGAAAGCAGGGGAAGAAAAATTAGCATGCAAGTTGCAAAACAAGGCATCAGATATATTTCACAGGAAAGGGAAAAAGCAGGATGAGGGTGCAAAGGCAACATCCAAATGAATACATCATGCTGGGGATGAAAATATTACCTTCCAGATAAGACTGGCTTCCTGAAGGCAAGTATGACTGAAGCCTAAATGATCTAGGCTCCTAGGATTGTAGGCTTGTTGGATGGTATTGGTTGTCAGTTGGATACTTATAACATGGAATGGTACTTCTGTTGCAGGGACAAATGAAGTGTGCCAGTTAGAGTGCTGGACTGGGGATCCAGGAAACTGGGTTCTAGACCCCACTTGGCCATGATGCTGACTGGGTGAATGTGGGCTTGTCACAAATTCTCAGTCCAACCTACCTGTTTAATTTTTGTTGTGAAGATAATATGGAGCTACATAAGCCACTTTGAGTTCATAGAAACAGAGCGAGTCAGAAGGGGCCTCCTGGGCTAGCTAGTCTAATGGACCATCTAGTCTTCCTAGTTCTTCACAAGGAAAAGAAGGCAGGATATAAATGCAGGATGATGATGATGATGATGATGATGATGATGATGATGAGAACATTTCTATGCCGCCCCTTGCCGAAGCCTCGGGGCGGCTTACAACACAAATGCAGGACGATGATGATACCAACAATAATAATCACTTTAGTTGCACAGATTCCCTCTGTCTAATCCAGGGAAAAAAGGCAGCTCTGATATTTAGGCCCACAGTTCTGCCACTGACAGATGCATTTACACCAATGGCCTATATTGCTCTTTTTTAAATGTTTAAACTGTTCTTGGGATTGGCCTCGGGTGTTCAGAGATCTGGCCTAATCCTGCATCAACCACAAACTATATGTTTCTGTGATACTAAAATAATAGTTGGAAGTTGGTAGGCAGTGAAACTGAAGATTCCTGGGAGTAGGTGAACCAGGGATGCCAAGCCATATCAGCTCAGTGTGTTAACTATGTGTATTCTTCCTAAAAATACACAGCTGTGGCTGTTAGCCCAAATGAAGTGACATTTTAAAAGCTGGGTGGCCCAATTTATTTTACTTTAATGTACCTGTGTGAAAGCCATCTTGATACTAGATCTGGGTCTCCCAAACACACCACAACAAAGGTATAAAACATAATTTGCTCTATACCCAATTGACCTAATTAGAAGGCATTCTGCACATGTGGAAGCTCAAGACTAGAATACTGGACTCACTTTCCTGTAGCAGTAAGGCCTATTGAACTGCACCAGCTAACTTCTAGTTAGACATTTACAGGACTGTACCATTCATGTATCTCTGTTGCTGTCACATGTTCCGGTGCTTCTCCATTCAAGGCCAAATTGGGCTCGGTTCCACAGGTGGATCCTCATAGCATACGGAGAGCTACCTCCATGGTGTTGGCAAGTGAGGAAGACCTCGTAGAGGCAGTAGCTGAGGATCTGCCCAGGATTCTTTTTCCCCGCAAAAAGAGCAACCCAATTATACTATGTTGGTATAAGATCATACACATTGCACAGAAAGGTTTTTATTGAAATTGCATTTGAAATGCTGTAAGGAAAAATATAAAATTGAGGAACGGCTTTTATAGCATTACAGAAACAATATATATAAATATTATGGTATAATTTATAATATCATGCCTATGAGGCATATAAAAACTTGATTCTTCTATGTGGAACTCTTTTCTTTTGGACTCATGTAGAAATAAAGACCTTCAATTATGACAAAATAGTTCAGCCTTTCCATTGCTTCTAAGCCTGTGGGTGTGATTTACAAACAAATTAAGTCAACGTATTTACATTTAAGCAATAATAAGCTCCAGTCTTAGACATGATTTACCTGGATTTAAGTTTCATTAGAGGGAAAAGAGATGCATTTATTTACATGTAAAGGGGTGTAGGACTGTGAGCCGTCAGCATTCTTCCCCATCTTCCTTATTTGGACTTTTAATTCAATTTTGGGGGCTACAAAAATACAACATTTGAAAATCATAGCCATACCCAATGGTAACTGGCCTTCTGTGGCCAGTCCCACCAATTCTGTTGTGCAGGCAGTTGCCACTGGTGAATTAGCGCTTCTGGAAATTTTTGCTCACATAAAGGTGCTTTGCTGAGATGTCATTTTACAGAAATGAATGTTTCCACTCTTTCCAGGTCTTGTGTATAGAAGCACTAACCCACCATAGTTGAGTTAGTTGTTAGTTGCTTCTGCAACAGAATTGGTGGTGCTGTTCATATGCAACACAGAGGCAATACTAGACTCCACATATAGATAGGCAGAACTGTAGAGTGTCCAATGTAGCTCAATGCTAACTACAATATTTAAAATACATTTGCAAGTTTTAAAAACCACTAAAATAATTACTTGCTTATTCCCATCTGCTAAACAGCCAGATAAGACTCAAAAGGCTATAGGTGAAATCTGGAAATACGGTTCTATCAGACCTCACCGAATAGGTCAAAAAGGGTTGGAGATGAGACATCTGATTTTTAATTTTTTAACAGATTTTTTCAAGTTCTCTGTTATTTCTGGGCATGCTTCCTTTGAATATTCCTTCTCATTTTCAGTGTGTAGGCTAATTTATATAGGCCTCCATGATTCATTCTTTGGGTGGGTTTGCACATCATGCTAAACCACCCTGAAAATGAGCTACCATGGTTTATTCTGACAGATGATCGTGCTTGCCATGACTTGTTGTCTATTTGTGGGTTACTGAAGCATGGGGTGAAGGAACCTGAGAAGGGCGATGATGGAGAAGGAGTGCAGCACAAGCTAAATCGTGAAGAATGCTGTGGAGTGGTTGGGGGGAGATGTTGCTGCTCTGGCCAGCTAAGTCTCTAGCCATCCCAGCAAACCATGATATAAAAATCTCCTGCTCAGTTTGAACATAAGTCACCATGGATATCAGTTACCCAGAACCATGCTAGACCCTGTTTGCTAGACCCTTGCTTTTTATGGCTTTATATGGGGACAGGCTCAAAATCCTACAAGCTAGGCTCCAGCAGTATGTGGACCAAGAACTACCAGAAGTACAGGCAGGATTTCGAAGAGGGAGAGGAACTAGAGATCAAATTGCCAACATATGGTGGATCATGGAGAAAGCTAAGGAGTGCCACAAAAACATCTACTTCTGCTTCATTGACTATGCTAAAGCCTTTGATTGTGTGGATCACAACCAACTGTGGCAAGTCCTTAAAGAGATGGGAGTACCAGACCATCTTATTGTCTCTTGAGAAACCTGTATGTGGGTCAAAAAGCAACAGTGAGAACTGGACAAGGAACCACTGATTGGTTCAAAATTGAGAAAGGAGTTCAGCAAGGCTGTATACTGTGGCCCTGCCTATTTAACTTATATGCAGAGCACATCATGAGAAAGGCGGGCTAGATGACTCACCAGTTGAAATTAAGATTGTGGGAGAAATATCAACAGCCTCAGATATGCAGATGATACCATTCTAATGGCAGAAAGTGAAGAGGAACTAAAGATCCTCTTGATGCGGGTGAAGGAGGAGACTGCAAAAGTTGGCGTGAAACTCAACATTAAGAAAATTAAGATCATGGCATCCAGTCCTCTCACTTCCTGGCAAAGTGAGGAAGATGGGGAAGAAATGGAGGTAGAGACAGATTTTATTTTCCTGGGCTCCAAGATCACCACAGATGGGAACTGCAGCCAAGAAATTAAAAGACGCTTGCTCCTGGGGAGGAAAGCTATGGCAAATCTAGACAGCATACTAAAAAGCAGAGACATCACCCTGCCAACAAAAGTATGTATAGTCAAGGCTATGGTTTTCCCAGTTGCAATGTATGGCTGTGAAAGCTGGACCATAAGGAAGGCTGAGCGCTGAAGAATTGAGGCCTTTGAATTGTGGTGCTGGAGGAGATTCCTGCGAGTCCCTTGGACCGCAAGGCGGTCAAACCGGTCAGTCCTAGAGGAGATCAACACTGACTGCTCTTTAGAAGGCCAGATACTGAAGATGAAACTCAAATACTTTGGCCACCTAAAGAGAAGGAAGGACTCCCTGGAGAAGAGCCTAATGCTGGGAACAATAGATGGCAAAAGAAGAAGAGGACAGCAGAGAATGAGGTGGTTGGATGGAGTCACTGAAACAGTTGGTGTGAGCTTGGGTGGACTCCGGGGGATGGTGGAGGACAGGAAGGCCTGGAGGAATGTTGTCCATGGGGTCGCGATGGGTCGGACACGACTTCGCAACTAACAAAAACAATGGGGACAGGATATCAAGCTAGATCTAGGATGTGGTAAACTCCTCCTTGAGAGAGGTGGTAAAGCTCTTTAAAAAGTAATTTGGCCACTTCTAAGGAAAACCACACACCTTAAATCTAGACAAGATGACAACAAAAACTATAAGCCAACATTCCCTGCTTGGGCATGGGGGGTTGAATAGGCAGTTGCTGGTCAACAGCAGGTACTGTTAATTAACTTTCAGAC